TGGTTACCAAAGTGTTCAGTGTCATTTCTCTCAGATCTAGAGCTAAGTAGCCCCTCTTACCCGACAAAGCCCAGAAGAATGGCCTTCTTCAAGCGAAGAGCAAAGCCGAGCAGGTGTGGCTGCACCTCGCTGCTCCTCCCACCTGCTGTCCACGTGGCCTAGGAATAGGAAGTCACGACTACAGGGCCTGAATCTATACCGGAACCCAAGTCATGGGACTTTGAATCCTGAGTCTTTTTCATCCAACATGGAGGATGTACTGTAAAACAGTTGATGTACTAAGAAAGGGCCTAGGCCGGGCGCGGTGGCTCACGCTTGTAATCCCAGCACTTTGGGAGGCCGAGGCGGGCGGATCACGAGGTCAGGAGATCGAGACCATCCTGGCTAACACGGTGAAACCCCGTCTCCACTAAAAATGCAAAAAACTAGCCGGGCGAGGTGGCGGGCGCCTATAGTCCCAGCTACTCGGGAGGCTGAGGCAGGAGAATGGCGTGAACCCGGGAGGCGGAGCTTGCAGTGAGCCGAGATCGCGCCACTGCACTCCAGCCTGGGCGACTAAGCGAGACTCTTTGTCTCAAAAAAAAAAAAAAAAAGAAAGGGCCTAGAAGTGAGGACAGGGATGTCTCAAAGTCTCCACTGAGAACTTTGCAGTGGAGCATTTGCAGTGGCCACTGGGTTCTGGCCCTCCGGAGTTCGGTGTATCAAGTGGAGCCTGGTGACGTGGTGCAAGAGGAGGACCGGGTGCCAAGTAGCCTTGGGTCCCTTGTTAGCTTCGAGGGCCAGGGTGTGTCTTTACACTCCCTCTCTAGGTTACTTTGAGACTTAAGTAAAACCACTGGAAAAGCATTTAATACAATTAAAACACGATTCGGTTAAATACAGTTTAAAGTACAAGTTCAGATTTAGATTGGAGATGTAAAGCTGTGTGGACAATAGGGTCATAAATAGGTTGCAATTTGGGGATCACATTGTGATCTTTGACTTGCATGTTCTTTTAGAGCTGAGATTCAGCTCTTCCAGCCTGAAAACTGGCACAGCCAAAGCAAAGGTGGTCGTTCGCCTCTTTACCATCTCTGGGAGAAATACCAAGAAACCTAAGTTAAGCAGAGAGTTCGTCATCTTAACCTTTTCGTTACCTGGGATACAGCTGGAACTCATTTTTGCTCGGATGCTTAGTGTTGGGAACCTCTCACGTGTGGGCCTCGTGACTCAGTCTGCGGCTCTTGCTCCTCGTGTCTTGCACCCATGTTCCATGTCCGAGTGAGTGTGGGTGGTAGAGGACAAGCAAGTCACCCAGCTCCCGGATAGACTCAATGTGTGCCCAGTGGAAAGCAGTTTGTTGTGTTTGCATTTGTGTCAGAGCTTTTATTTAAAGCAACAGTTTTCCTTTCCTATGGATTACTTCTTTTGTCTCAAAGTGGATAAAAATGCAAAACAACTGCTAGTTGAAGCTTTGTGGGTTTGTATGAGTGAAGTCGGTGTTCGGATTCAATAGCATGGTCCACATTCTGAGAGAGTTACTTTACAGTTAGCTCATTGGTGGACTTATAAAGTCATGGTCCAAAAATGGTCTAAGTGACAGACACCTATTTTTTCCTGAAGGAAATCCATAAGCTATTGAGATCAGTAGGCATCTTCTGCAAAAGCATTAAAGAAAATACAACTTTTTTTGCTACTGATCCCTGTTACTTTTGTCCCTACTACTGGGCCTCCGTTTTTGAGTAGGTGGGGTTCTGCACAGTGTGTAAGTCGAATGCGTAGAATCATTACCATATGTTTCCAATATTACAGTTGTATAGATGCATTCCCTTATTCCTCTAAGCTAGACACTGTTCAGCAGACACTTATTGAACACCCAATATGTGCCAGGCCCTGTGCTATATTCTAGGAAGACAAAAATCGGTTAGTCCTGGCCCCTCTTTTCAAAGAGTTCACAGTCTAAAGAGAAGACAAAAACAAGATCAAAATATGAAAATGTTGTGACATACCTAATGGAACTCACAGATGCTAGGCAGAAAAGTAACATTGAAGAGAGAACATTTTAAATAAGCCCACGGGTGGTTTTGCAGTGGAAATGATGTTGAAACAGGGTTTTAAAGCATAAGCAAGAGCTCTCTGCACACACATGGGTGGTGGAGCCAAGGCTGTCAGCCAGGCTTTTCAAACCTGAAACCAGACAACTCACGGTCGTGTCTTGAGGAGTCCAGGAAGTACTTACATAGATTCAGAGCCCTGAGAGTGCTTCTAGTCAGGGTTTACCAGCTGGGCCAGCACAATGAGACTGCTGCTCAAAGCCAGCAGGTTGGCATCTGTCAGATGTTTCTGCCCTTTACTAGAAGGTACTCAAGACCCAAGTCTTCTACTTGTTACTTTTCATCAATTACTTCTCAGCAAAGCAGCTCTTAGCTTATCACTGCTTTGTAGAAATGGGTATTGAAATGGGTTTTTTTTTTTTTTCCCCCCCCCGGCTCTTGTCCCATGGGGCTTCCATACCAGAACAATGACTTCAGCCCTTGCCTGTAGCCTGGGTGGTCTGTCTGGACCTGTTTCTTCCTGCTGTTGAATCTTGAGTGTCTGCTCTACCGTCCTCTCCCCCTTTGCCATCCTGGGCCTGTTTCAGGTCAGTGGACTCACTGAGCTGTCCAGCAGCCCAGAGGGGCGTGCTTCCTCTCTGCTCCGAAGCACTGTGGGAGAAGGGCAAGGTGGAAAGGTTTGGTTGGTTGGTCAGGTGTTTTGTGTCCAGGGACTGTATGTCTATATAAGTAGTCTCTCTATAGAAGTCTCTAAGACTGTTGTCTTAGAAAATGAAAGCAGTGCACCGTCACACTCACTGAATACTACTATGGGCCAGACAGTGTGCTCAATTCTTACCATAACCCTGGAGGTAGGTATTTCCAGATTACAGATGAGAAAACTAAAGCACAAAAAGATTGAGTAATTTGCCTGAGGTCACACAGCTAGTAAAAGGGAGAGCTGGCATCCGAGCTCGCCATACTGCAGAGCCCAAAGGCCAAGACGTGGGACTAGAGTTAAGATCTGTCACCTGAACGTGCCTCCTCATAGTGGAGCCAGCAGTGGTAGCTCCTGGACTAGATGTGCAGTCCCAGCTTTCATCTTGATAGCTCCAGAATTCCTCCTTTCCTTGCCACTTTCACTGCCATTGCTTCATCCTTTCTCACCCCCTGACTAACCACTTGTCCTCCTTCTGCCTTCTGGTTCATCCACAGTATTGCCACAAATTGATCTTTCCACTGAGCTGACCAGATCTTCTCACTTTGCTGCTTAAATCCCTCTGTGACTCCCCAGCCCCTTGAGGACAAAGTGATACAAGGTTGTCTTTGGCCTGGCTGCTGCCCCCACTCAACCTGGAGCCTGTCAGGGTATGGCACTGTCATACCTGTATATGCACCATCCCTTTGCTCCTAACCCCTTCGTGTCCTCCCTCTGGCCAAGCCAGGCCTGTAGGATTCTGCCGAACCATTGCCCATTCTTCAGAACCCTCCAGGGAACCCTCCCACTTGAGTTTACAGAATTCAGTGCTCATTTCTGCATCCCAGAGGATGTGATGACCAGGTTGCCCATAACTAGGCATTCCTCCACTCCAGCAGACAGAAGTCCTGCTGAGGGAGATCCGTATGTCTGCCCAGCATTAGCAAGGACTGAGGGAGAAGGGCCAGGATCCAGATGTCCCACCTCATCCTAGAGCTCATGTAATCTGGGGAAAGGCAGACATTAAACCAATAGGCTACAAGTAGGTCTTGAATTATAACTATGGTAAGTGCTAAGAGGGAAAATGACGGATTTTAGTGTGTTCAGTGGGAAGGCTCGCCTTGGTCTTGGGTGTTGGGTCCTGGGTGGTCACAGCAAAGGCAGTGCCAGCTTCTCTGAGGAAGTGATCCTTAGGGCAAGGCCTGCAGGATGAGTGTGAGTGCGGTAACGAGCTGAGGCTCACACGTTCTAGAGCATGGACACAGCACAAGCAAAGCTTAGGGCCAAGAAGGTGAATAGGTGTGTGCTGGTCAAGGGGAGGCCTGTGTGTCCAGGGCCTTGGTGAGCTGGAGGGTTGGAGGAGGTAGGCCCAGCTCCCTTGGATCTTTTCAGGCCAGAGCCTTGGGAAGCCATTGCTGCGTCCTGAGCAGAGGAGTGACGTGCTCGAATTTACATTCAACAAAGATCACTCTGGCTGTGATGGGAAGAAGGACTGGGAAGAGTTCCTGGTGCAGATGTGTAGGCTCTTGTGCTGCGCCGCTGTGAGAACGTGGTGCTTAGGATCTCCTAAGGAGGTCAGCAGCCAGGGCCTGCTGCCTGGATAGCGGCTGAGGCAGAGGGAGGACCCAAGGGGACCCCAGCCTGTGCAGGAGCAGCCAGATGGCTAGTCACTCAAAAAATGCATGGATGTTGGCTAGCCAGCTGGCCAGACCCTGATCACCTTCCCTTGGTGCCTTCAACAGTGGTCTGCCCCACAGGGCCCAAGGCAGGGCTTGCCAGTGAGGCAGCTCCTTTGAGAATGCCCTGGTCTTTAGAGCACTGTATACAAATTCCTCTAGTTCATTAGATTTGCGCTGTACCTTGCCTGGGTATAAGAGGTCAGTGTGTAAGGGTTTTATCCATTTTCATCAGTGATTCCAAAGTTGACTTATCAGTGATGATCATTAAAATGCTTGCTGAGATTAAGCCGTAGAAACAGATCTTACGACGCACATGACACACTCACATGTGACCCAGTAGGAATGTGACAGGTTATTGAGTTGTCTAAAGTTTGTTCAGATATACTCCTCAAGGCATCGGTTGCTTTTCATATCTACATCTGGTTGAAATTTGACCTGCTGTGTACAGTCTCATAAATCAAGTCCACGTTTTGTGAGATGTGCGCCCTGTGGGCCTCAGCTCATGGCGAGCACATCCCATGAGGCTCATAATGAATTGTCTGTCTGTAGTTTACTTACCTAGGTAAACAGAATATTAATTTTGATATGTGATTAGAAAATTTTTTTTTGTAGGCTTTACCGCCAGCACCTGTTCAGAATCACACAAATAAGCATCAGGTATTCAATGCATCTCTTCAAGACCATATTTATCCGAGCTGTTTTGGGAATACTCCAGAGTGGAATAGTTCTAAATTTATAAGTCTTTGGGGATCAGAAGTGATGAATGATAAGAACTGGAATCCTGGCACTTTCTTGCCAGATACAATTTCTGGTAAGGAATTTGTTAAAACTTTCTTAAAGTTTTAAAATAACCTGAGTAGATTGACATCTTTGCCGTAGTCTCCCGTGGAAACCCTGGCGCAGCTGTAGCCAGCCGCTGCTCCACCACCTCGGTCTCCAATCCTACTCCATCCTGTCGCATCTGCCACCAGTCAGTCCCACTGCGTGACTGAGCAGAGCAAGACTCTGACTCCGTGGCTCCCTGTCAGACCGGTGAGCCACATGGGCATGGCCTCCGCACTGCTGAGGGTCTGGTGACCATGGTTGGGTGCCCGGCCTTCAATTCTCGAGCAGTGGTGACAATCAGACCTCAGGCCCCCCAGTGCACAGGGGCAGGAAGAAAGTGCCACAGTCGACTTAAATCTGTGACTCACACTCCTTCCTCTGGTTACTGCATTGGCCCCACGTGGCATCTCTCCCCTTTACTAGCTCCTTCCTCCCCAGCTGCCTCAGCCACTGAGGCCCAGCTGTTACTTCAGTCGCAGGGTCAGGGGCACCTGAAAAGGGGCTGGTGCCTACCCCTCATCTCTGTCTTCCTGTGGCCAGAGCTCCTGGCAGCCCCACACCCAGCCCCCGCGTGTGCCAGAACAGCAGGCTACACTTGACATCCTGATCTCTGCTTGGGAAGGATTTCTAGCTGTGTGACCTTGGGCAAGTTGCTTGGCCTCTCTGAGCCTCAGTTTCTTCATCTTCTTAGGATGGGAGTAATAGTATCAACCTCAGAAAGTAGTTTTAAGACTTTACGTAACTTTGGAAAGCACCTAGCACAGGAATTGGCACATAGTAGGTGCTCAATACAGTTTTTTCTTAGATTAAGAACTGGTTGACTTAGCGTCATCCCAGTGGGATCCTGACTTCAGTAGCACCCCCAGTGTCAAATGTTCAGTCATCAGCATGTCTTTTAGGGTTTAGCTAAGTATGATTGCTGTCAGAAGCCATAATTTTCCTGTTCTTCTTTGAAGGGAGTGAAATATTAGGGCCAACACTCTCAGAAACAAGACCAGAAGCCCTTCCACCTCCATCTAGCAATGAAACACCTGCAGTCTCGGATAGTAAAGAGAAAAAGAATGCTGCAAAAAAGAAGTGTTTATACAATTTCCAAGATGCTTTTATGGAAGCAAACAAAGTTGTCATGGCCACCTCATCAGCCACGTCCTCCGTGTCCTGCACAGCTACCACAGTGCAGTCCAGCAACAGCCAGTTCAGAGTGTCATCCAAGAGACCTCCTTCAGTAGGTAAGGCTTGAAGGCTCACTGACCCTCGGGGTCTGCAGGAAGGCTGGGTTTACTGACTTCTCATCTTTGTAACTGCCTTTTACTTGGCCCAGCCCGAGGCGTACATGTAATTAACTGTGTAATTAACTGACCAAAAATGCTCACACACACACAGCTGATCCCGAGAGCTGATCCTTAGGACTTTGATTAGAATTGTAGCTATTATGCTAGATTCCTCTGGGGCTTCACTGCACCGTCTTGCTTTTGTCTCTGTTTCTGTTGTTCTTCTGTGATAGGAAGAGGTTATTGCTTGCTTTCTCTTCTCTTTTTCTTTTTCTTTTTCAAGATAGGGTCTTGGCCGGGTGCAGTGGCTCACGCCCGTAATCCCAGCACTTTGGGAGGCCGAGGCGGGCGGATCACGAGGTCAGGAGATCGAGACCATCCTGGCTAACACAGTGAAACCCTGTCTCTACTAAAAATACAAAAAAATTAGCCCGGCGTGGTGGCAGGTGCCTGTAGTCCCAGCTAGTCGGGAGGCTGAGGCAGGAGAATGGCGTGAACCCAGGAGGCAGAGCTTGCAGTGAGCCGAGATCGCGCCACTGCACTCCAGCCTGGGAGACAGAGCGAGACTCCGTCTCAAAAAAAAAAAAAAAAAAAAAAAAGATAGGGTCTCACTCTTGTTCGCCCAGGCTGGAGTGCAGCGGCACAATCTCAGCTCACTACAGCCTCCACTTCTTGTGTTCAAGCGATTCTCCCACCTTGGCCTCCTGAGTAGCTGGGACTACAGGCGCCCACCACCACGCACGGCTAATTTTTGTATTTTTTGGTAGAGACGGGGTTTCACCACGTTGGCCAGGGGAGGAGGTCATTGCTTTCTGAGCATGTGGCAAGATTTCTCAGAAGCTGCTTTAGGAAAATGCTGAGCAGATGTGAGCTGGCTCGAGGAGGCCTCACTAGCCAAAGCTGGGAAAGATTGAGCATTAAAGGGAATGAAGAGGCTGAGTGCAGTAGCTCCCAGCATTTTGGGAGGCTAAAAGGGGAGGATTGCTTAAGCCCAGGAGTTTGAGACTAGCCTGGGCAACATAGTGATGAGACCCCGTCTCTTAAAAAAAAAAAATTTAAAAAACAGTAAGGAAGTTTGACTATAGCATACAAATAAAGTCAAGAATCCAAAGGGATTAGGGTGCTCAAACAGAGCAGTAGGGTGGGAAGCTCCTTCTTCTAGAAGCACACCTCCTCCAAATGTGTAAGAAGGATAGGAGTGGCACTTCAGCATGCTGCGCCCCTGGGGTAACAGCTGGTGCAAGTACGCAGCATTCATGGAGGTTAACGAGGGATATCAGTTTGGGGAATGGAGTATTTCTGCTGTTCAAAAGCAGCACCCACAGGGAACTGACAGATTACACAGGAATGGTGGGCGCCTGTGTTAATCCATTCTCACGGTGCTATGAAGAACTACCCAAGACTGGGTAATTTATAAAGGAAAGAGTTTTAATTGACTTTCAGTTCCACATGGCTGGGGATGCCTCAGGAAACTTACAATCATGGTGGAAGGTACCTCTTCACGGGGGACAGAACGAATACCCAGCGAAGGAGAAGCCCCTTATTAAACCGTCAGATCTCGTGAGAACTCACTCACTAGAACAGCATGGGGGAAGCCCCCACCATGATTCAGTTATTTCCACTGGGTCCCTTCCACTGCACAGGGGGATTATGGGAACTGCAATTCAAGATGAAATTTGGATGGGGACACAACCAAACCCTATCACTGGGGACTGACAGATTACAAAGGAATGGTGGATGCCAGACTCTGGAGGAACCTAGCAGACAGTGCCATGCACATCACCATGAAACAGAGAGACACTGGTTGCATCCCATTGCCACAAACTCAGAAGAATCCAACATAATATTTGCAGGATTTGTGCCCAGAACATTTTATCTAAATCTACCAAGACAAGACAAATCCAAATGGGCAGACAGGTGGCCTATTAAAAAAAAATGTTAGGCCAGGTGCGGTGGCTTACGCCTGTAATCCCAGCACTTTGGGGAGGCCAAGGCAGGCGGACCACGAGATTAGGAGATCGAGACCATCTGGCTAGCACAGTGAAATCTTGGCTCTACTGAAAATACAAAAAAATTAGCTGGGCGTGGTGGCGGGCTTCTGTAGTCCCAGCT